TATATATATATATATATATATATATATATATACCTTCAACCTTATCTCTCTCTCTCACACAAATCCACTTAATGAATATCCACAACGGCACCAGATGAAAAGATTTGAACTACAGGCTGCATTTGCAGTACTTCCTCTGCTGTACACATGGACATGGGATATGCAAATACTATTTCTCCATCCATAATAACATTTAACACCTGCTGATGAAGATCTGCTTTCATCGTTATTGTAGCTGGTAATGAAGGTAACATAGATACAATTGGATGTATAAACAACATATGAGAAGGAACCCCATTAACAAAAAATATACCTGTATATGGATCCATAAAGTATCCATCAAGTGGTTTCTGATAGTCTTTATTGGTACTTTCAGTATAAAGAAGATATTCTTTAATAATAAGAGGAGATGCGAGTCCTATAAGGACACAAGGTGGAACTCTCATATCATCATCCTCCTCCTCATTATTATTATTATTATTATTATTATTATTCTCTTCCTTTTCCTCTTCATATACAGTCATTTCTTCTTCCTCATTCACTTTTATCATATCGTGGTTCATAGAAGTTTCCGTTTCATTCTCTAACGTTCCACAATCTTCTCTTTCTTTTTCATTTTCTTCTTCTTCTTTTTTTAAAACTTCTTCATTCACAGTTTCCACCAATTCTGATGATAATAATACTGATGATGTCTTAGGTGGGATATCAATATCTACAGAGGGTAGAGATGCTCTTGATGGGAAAACAACTCTTGTTAAGAGACGTGTTCCTATATTATTCTCTTTTAAATTCCATGATGATAGTGATAATGATGATCCTCTTGCATGAGAGAATGCTTGTCTAAAATATTTGGAAACTTCTAACAATGGATCCTCTTTCATATTATTATTATTATTATTATTCACATCGCTTGAGTTTTCCAATTTCTTTGAATGAGATGTCTGAACTGTCATGATGTTTACTATTTCTCGTACATCTCTTTTACGCATCACATTTACGCAAACAGACCAAGAAACAGTTCGCTCACATACAGGCAAAGAGGCACCACCAGCACTTATTCGCTTTAATTCCAACCATTCTCCAAGAGAAAACGGTAAACCCACAAGACTATTGATCCAACCATTTTTTCCAATCTTAACAACACGACGTTCACTTGTTCCACATAGTAAAAGATCGTTATTATTGATTGAATTGTACAGTTTCCAACGAAGAAGACTATGCAGTAGTGGAATCCAAAAAGGACATTCTTCTTCTTCTTCTTCTTCCTCTTCTTCTTCATCTTCTTTTATTTTGTCATTCTTTTTCTCATCTCCTTCTGTAAAGAGTTTAAATGATATTTCTGTATTTGGGTCTATATTACTACCACTATTACTCCTCCTCTTACTATCATACGGTAGACCTCGTGGAATCCCTACACATCCCGATGTAAAGAGTGTAAAAGGATCACCAGAGAGAAATAAGATACTACCATCTGTGAGTCCCATTTGTGTTGGTGAAAGACCCGCATCCAATGGCTCCCATATATTCTTGTAAAGATGAGAATCCCCCTTCTCAAATGATGAAACTCTCATATCTCTGTTTGTATTATTATTATTATTATTATTATTATTATTATCATTTCTTCTCCAGAGACGAAAGGGAGATATTTCCTCCAGTGGAAGAGGTCTGGGCAGTAATTGTTGAAGTCTCTGCAGATGCCGTGGGGCGGCGAGGGGAATATCTTTATGTACATCCCAACAAACCCGTTGGAGAGAACTCTCTGCGGGGAACACACAATGATCCCCTTCCACCACTAATACTATCATCAAAAAAAAAAAACCCTTTTTTTATTATATACACCATACAGAGAGAGAGAAAAAGAAAGAAAGAGAGAGAGAGAGAGAGAGAGAAATGATAGAAGAAATACTTTTTTTTTCTCTATTCTTATTGGTTTTAAAAAGAGAGAGGAAAAAAAGAGACCAACACAATTTTAAAATAAAAAGAATCTTTTTGATCGTACATACACAATAAAAAAACGAATAATAATAATAATAATAATAATAATAATAATAATAATAATAATAATAATAATAATAATAATAATAATAATAATAAACACAAAAAGAAAAGAAAAAACGAAAACACAAAACTCATAAAGCAGACAACAAAAAGAAAGATATCCCTGAGATATACAGTAAGAGAAAATGAATAAAAAGAAGATATGAAAGAAAATAAATAAATAATAAACAAAGAAACAAACAAAGAACTCATACAAGAGCAACAACAAAATAGCTCAAGATGATTCCCACAAATAACAGTACACAAGATCAAAACTCTTCCCCCCACCCCACCCCTTTTACTATCGTAATAGTTTTATAAAGTCTTCCAGTAATCATAAACACGACGCTTACGTCCTGTAATAGGCTTTACGACTTCGTTTTTCTCTTTATTCGCATTTGATTGTCTTTTCCTTGAAGGAACAGAGGAGCGTGGAAATAACATCACTGATGTCTCCCACGTTAAAAGACATCGTTGGGCGTATGTTAAATCTGAAAAACTGGAAGGTATACGTATAGGAGAGGAATTTCCCTCATCATTTACATAAGAAACATGATGAACATTCTCTACTAATCCTAATGAGATCTTTGCTTCTTCTTGCTCTGTTTTCACAAGAACATCTAAAGAGGGGCTTATATTATGTGAATGTCCATCCAATGTCTCTATCTCACTTGACTGTATTTTTTCCTCTTTCTCTTCTTGTTCCTGATGTTGTTGTTCTCGTTCTTCTACTTCTTCCTTTTCTTCTACTTCATGTTCTTCTTCATCTGTATGTTCCCTCTTTCTTTTTTTACTTCCTAAGGTTTGATTTCGCACTTCCCGTCTAATCTCATCCTCATTTTCTCCATTTTTTCCTTCTAGTCTACGAGAGAGCATCGTCACTGTTTTATCAGACTCTACATGCTGATAACGATATAACTGCATCAGTGCAGGATAAATGCCATACATTGGTCCACTCTTTTCATCACTTTCATTATTGTCATTCTCATGATGATCTGTTTCTTTCTTTATGGTCATTCTTTCTGTTGTTCCTGATGATGATGATGATGATGATGGGAAAGCTGTTAGAAGAGATGCGTATATGGGATCATTTGCCATTCGGCGTTCAATCCGCTCCATCACAAGTTTAAGAGAGAGTGAAGGTTCATTTCGCCTATCCGCTGTGGTTGACTTTGCTTCTATGAAATCAGCACTGTCTTCTGAAGGAAGAAGACGACGTCGTGTTGATCGAATTGGCCGCCAAACTTCTTCAATTATGGCTGATCGTGTAGATCTATGTGGCTTCTCAACAAGGGGAACTGGATCCACATTAACTGTTGTCGAAGATAAATCTTTATTTTCAGTTTTTGTTGTTCCTGCAGTAGTACTAGTAGTAACAGTATGAGTAGTAACACTCGTAGTGGTAGTATTGATACCACTATTATTATTATTATTCATACTAGTAGTAGTAGTAGTAGCAGTTGTTGTTGTTGTTGTTGTTTTTGTTGAAGATGACTCTTGTGTTGCTACAACTCCTTTTGTCGCTACAGTCTCTTTGGGTTTTTGTGTTCTCTTCGCCTGTTGTTGTTGAGATTGAGATTGTTGAGATTGAGATTGTTGTTGTTGTTGTCTGGTACGAGTATTAGAGAGGATAGGCGTTCCAACACTCTCTGTCTGCTTTACCGTTTGTTTCTCTGTCTTTTTTTCTTCCATTTCATCATCCACGGCACTTCTCGATCTACGACGAATACGACTACTCACCGGTGGAGGACTCGTACGTGTGGGATCCAGTCGACTTCGTGGTCGTTTCTTCACTTCTTCTCCCGCTACACTTTGTTGTTGATGTTGTTGTTGATGTTGATGATGATGATGATGATGATCTCTTTCTTTTTCTTTTTCCTTTTCTTTTTCTTTGTGTTCTCGTGAATGAGAGGACTTCTCCTGTCCATGTCCTTCTTCCCCTTTTACATTAGAAGATCCCTCCTCCTTCACCCCACGCAGAGATGTGGGGGAATCTAAATGAAGACTCTTCTTAGGTCGCTGCTCTGTAAGTAATTCATAATAAAAATGCCGCACAAGAATTAAAAGTGCATCTCGCCGCATGGGACCACTGTGTTGATGTAAAGCAGCAACATCCATGTTTCTTCCAACAACCCACCATGAAAAGGCCAAATCCTTCGCGTTAAATCGATCCAACACAACACCACGTGAAAGGAGAGATTGATAATACGCCACAATGGCTTCTACAATAGCACAGGAAAATCGAACCACCTCATTTCCACTATTACTATTATTATTATTATTATTATTACTATTATTACCACTAGTGACCTGCCCCACTTCTCCCTTTTCCTTTTCCTGTTCCTCTTCACAGGATGTTGTTGCTGTGATGATGGGTTGGCCCATTGGCTCTGGTAAACGCGGGGCGGGAGTGACGGCTGTATCCATTTCTGGTCGTTTCAGCGGTGTGGCGTCCGGCATCACAACATCGTGCGGCAATTCCTCCTCCACTTCTTTTGTGTTTCTCTCATGAGAGATGGATCCATGCACAGTGGCGGTATCTTTTTCGGTACTCATCTCTTTATGAAGTGTTATTGGCTCTAGTGATGTTTGTGGAGCTGCAGACTTCACAGGTACTACTACTCCCGTCTTTTCTCCAGTTTCTTCTTCTACTTCTTCTTTTGCTGTAAGGATAGTAGTAGTAGTTGTTGTTGTTTTGGTTGGTGTTGGTGTTGGGGTAAAACTCGCCCGACTTCCACTGTGATGTCTACCGTGCGGAGATGCCGTCATGCGGCCCTGGGCGGTGAGGGAAACAAACGCCGTTGGGCCAAAGAAGAGAATACGCGCCAAATCCACAGCACAACCCTCCGCCTCTTCACATGTACGCTTGTCTGGCTGTGCGGCTGGTAAGAGTAATAAATTTGTGGCTCGCACAACATTCACGGGTTCTACCGGCGGCATTTCGTCTGCGTGATAGGCACGAAGGCGTTGAATAGTATTTAGGGCGATAAAGTCACGACAGCGATCGTCTTTCCAGGGATCCATTTGAGAAACATCGGCAGATTCGGCCGTAGTGGTCAGTCGGCGTGTTTGGCGCTGCATATATATATATATATGTATATATTTATTTATTTATTTATTTATAAAGTATAGATAGATAAATAAATAAATAGATAGATTAGAGAGATAGATAGATAGATAGATTCTTGTGTATATGTATCCTTTCTTTACTGTATCTCGGCAAATAATGGAATGGAGGTTTAAGGATTGGTTACTACTCAACTCTTTCCTTATTTTTTGGGGGGTTCAGAGTGTTATCACGAGTTACCGAAAGAATAACAGCAACAGCAACAACACAAAGAAGAACAGAAAAACAAAAATAAGAAAACGCAACCTAATAGCAGATGAGTGACCACTTCCACTCTAAAGGAGAAATAAAGAAAAAGAAAAAAAGAAAAGAAAGTTAACATTATTAGTGTAGTTAAGGAGATGTAAAAAAGAAAAAAGTATCATAAGAGAACACCAAAACCCCAAAGTATAGGAGAAACCATAGAGATAGAAATAGAAACAATAAATTACAGAGAAGCATTCACCCCTTACTTTACCATTCAGAAAAGTCAATATAACCCTAAAAGAGAAACCAATAATAATAATAATAATAATAATAATAAATCACTTTAGTAAATATATATATATATATATATATATATAGAGAGAGAGAGAGAGAGAGAGAGAATTTATGTAATGTTTCTCTTGCCTACACCTCTTCCTGATCGAGTACAATCATATTTGTAATGAAAACACGATCTCGGCTATAGTGTGGCTTTAATCCCATAGTGTAGTTTTCCCTTTTCTCATATGAATACTAATAAAAAATAAGAATAATAACAAAAAAAAACTAATGAATATTGTTTCCCTTTTATTATTATCATTATTATTAGTAGTAGTAGTAGTAGTAGTAGTAGTAGTAGTAGTAGTAATGACTACACAGGAGTAGAGGCCAATAAGAACCACTGTTAAGGGAAGTGCACATACCCATACTCCTATGAATATCTAAAGGCAAACAAGACCTATAGATATAATGAAGTCTTGATTGTATCTAAGAAGATAGAAGAAAAGAAAAGAAAAAGAAAAAAAAAAAAAGCAAGAAAAATATTAACAAATCCAAAAAAACAAAAAGAGAGAATCAAATAAATAAAAATAGAAATAAAGAAGGAAAAAAAAAAAAAAAACATACTAAGAAGGAATGAAAATATATACAGGGTATTCTAAATGGGTACAAAGATAACAATGGAAAGGCAGTACAATAAGAGAGACTTTATAACCTTCCTGGTTCTATTTTAATGCACATGATTTTACGTGCTCTTTTTTATTTATTTTTTATTTTTTGTCCTCTCTCCCTTTTTATTCCACAACGTAGAATAAAATGTGATTCAAAAGGAAAAGAATAATAATAATAATGTCTTTTCGATTTTATTATTTTTTTTTCTCTCCCCTCCTTTGTTTAAACTCTCTTACTTCTAAAAGAGGGTACAAATACTTATTTATACATAGAATCACGGGAATATAGATTGGTACATTATTTCTTCTCCGCCTTTCCCCATTATTACACTATGCGTGAACTTATCATTATATTCCCAATGAAGTTCACAGCAAAAGGAAAACGACTAAAATAATAATAATAATAATAATAATAATAATAATAATAATAATAATAATAATAATAATAATAAGAGAGAAGGGGAGTGAAGTTAGTAAATGTAATAAGGAGTAAAAAGAACACCCAAGAACCACAAAAAGCAGGATAATAACAATAATCATAATAAATTGTTAACAACAAGAAAAAAAAAAGAAGATTGGAAAAATGACAACGAGAAAAAACCACGAAAAGAAGGGGTGATGGGAAAGCAACGAGAACAAAAACGAACAAAAAGATCTAAAAGTACATAAATACAAAAAAAAAAAAAAAGAAGAATGCAAACGCAAACGCAAAAATAAAAAAAAAAAAATTGGAAAGTAATGAACTAAAAAATTAATAATAAAGAAAAACAAACAATGATTTACTTTCACCCAACCAACAACAAACAAAAAAAAAAGATGATATTTCAAAATTAGAAAAAAAAAAAAAACATGTAATGTCTTCATTCCGTTCTTGCTTTCCTTGGTTAATCTGCACATATCCCCAAAGATCACCCAACGCCGTAATCCCCATAAAGACTCTTCAATCTCTTGATGACCTCCAATTTCTAACGAAAAAAAAAAGAAGGAATAATTCAGAGGGCCGGACCTCTCAACGTGGAAAGCCTCAAGGCTTAAAAAAAAAAAAAACTTCATAGTGACAATGGAGAGAAAAAAAAAAAAAGAATGTACGTCTTTTTTTTTTTTTTTTCATTTTATATCAGAAACTTAAACACATACATCCACAGACAGACACACACACACGCGGTAAAGTTAAAGCAATTCCTTTTTGCTCAATCACAAAACGGTTAGTCATACTTGTGTCTACAGAATGTGTTGATTATTCTTTTTTTTTTTTAATTCTTTGCCACTTCCTCACGTAATACAGAGATGGATTGTACAGTAAAATCCCCCCAGATATTTTCTCTTCTGATTATTCATCGCATCTTTTATTTTTTAAAAGGCATAATGTCTCCCACCTTTTCCACTTCCACTCCTTCTGATATTGCCAGTACGTGAATGTCTTCATTAAACCAAACACCATCACCACTTTTTGTTTATTCGATATTGCATATAATTTTAATTATATATATATATACCAGATACCTAAGCACTATCCACAGAATTACTAAGCACAAAACCTTGCTCCATTCACCCACAGATACACAAAGAAATAAAAAAAAAAAGAGGCACAAGACAATAGCTCTTATGCTCTTTTTATTTTCAATGATTTACTTCCCCACCCCTAAAAAAAAAAAAAAGTGGGAAACAAGGGCGTCCCTTTCAAGTAATCTTTCATTCTTACGCATCTAATAATAATAATCCGTTCCCCTACCCATAAAACGACCGGTTTGAGATGAACCTGACGCAGGACCCGCTGTTCTTCCTCTCGCATTCGCATTAGCTCCACGTCCGGGTGTTTTTGCTGATGTTTGCCCTCTGGGGGGTGCTGGCGTCGGGTGAACATGATGAGCGTGCACACGCTGGTGACGATATAACGCATCACGTTGAGCGGGAGAAATAGGAACAATAGGTAGTCTAGTTTGCACTGCCTGTGGAATAACACGATGAGAAGTGGAAACGGGTGCGTCTGAGCTTCTTCCAGCATAACCACTTTGCCGCTGTTGCGTTGCAGATGAAGGGACATTCCCTCTTTGCTGTGGTGAAAACTCTGAATGCGTGGGTGTTGTACTCTTCCCCGCAGAGGGAGGATATGGATGAATGACGGCACGCTGGGCTACTGCATCCAGATCATGCGGAAAAACCGATAATCCACGATAAGTATCATAATTCCTCCGAACCCGTATTGGGCGCTGTTGAACTTGTGGAGGTGTTGGTACCATACTAGAGGAGGCAAAGCGGACCTGCGGCCGTTCTGTTTCTCTAGAAGTTGACCGCGACTCCTCCGCCGCTTTACTTCCTTGTCTCCCTCCTCCAGATGATGGACTCCTACTTTTCTTTGGTTTTACTGGACTCTCCTCCACTGCACTCATCATACTTACATGCACAGGAGTAGGCGTTAACAATTCATTCCCAACAAAAATTTCATTAACAGCAGAAACACCTTCTCCAGTTGACAAATGGCACTCGTGTGCCTTACCAATTAAAACAAGTGGAGCTCTGTCAGTGCCAGAAAGAAAATTTTTATCCGGATACATTTCCGTGAATACACGTCGAACAGGAACTGTCTCATCCTCCTTTAAACCTGAAGGTGGCGAACTCCCAAAAGCCACTACTCGTTTACTTCTACTACTTCTTGCAACATCCTCCATTGCATTCAAAAAGGACAAGGACTTTTGATCCATTATATCATCATCATGCATATCACTACACACCGAACCACCATCCTCACGAACGTTCCCCCTAGAGACAGAAACAACTGGTGAATAAGCAGACGACGACCTACGACGTGACGAACCAGATACATTACCAAACTCATTAGACGTATCAACCGCAGATAACGCAGCCACGCTCAAAGGTGGATGAGTATCATCACGAACACCACTCAACAAATTAACAACATTACCAGAACTAACACTAACTCCCTGGGGTTGGCTAGGCAGCGTCCCCTCCTCTGCTGAAGACTGTGTCAACGGCTCAACAGCGTCTCTGTCAGCATCAGCGACAGATTCATGCAACGGTGCAGAACGAATAATAGTGTCCGGAGTAACAGCAGGTGCCGTAGCTTCCTCAGATGTGATCTGCGTTAGTGGCTCCACGGCTGCAGACGCA